AAAAAAAAAAAAAAAAAAAAAAAAAAAAAAAAAAAAAAAAAAAAAAAAAAAAAGAAATCAAACCACCAAAAGCCCCACTCAAAACGCGAGTGTTCACCTCCTAAGTGGGCACAGAACTATTCCTCGAGAACTCTTCTGAACTTCTTCCTTTAGAACTGTCACCTCAACAAGGGAAATTCCAAGTTGCCTTAGCCACTTCGAACGTACTGTATTAGCACACATGCTGAAAAAAAGTGACACTCAAAGTATTTTTCATCACTCTGAGGTGCCCAGGACGGAAAGTGGTGGTTTAATCTAGAAGGTGGGGCCAGGTCTCTCAGGTCATGTTGGTAACCGGTATGACAGATAGATACCAGCTTTAAAACCATTTAAAAATCACCCTAAAACGCCAGGCCTGCACACGGTGACCCCTCAGATCACTGTCATAGAATCATAGAATCATAGAATAGATTGGGTTGGAAAAGACCTTCAAGATCATCAAGTCCAACCCCTGATCCAACTCCAATTACTATATCATGGCACTAAGGGCCACATCCAATCTCTGCTTAAAAACCTCCAGGGATGGTGAATCCACCACCTCTCTGGGTAGGCTGTTCCAACGCTTGATTACCCTCTCTGTAAAGAATTTCTTCCTAACATCTAACCTAAACCTCCCCTGGCAGAGCTTGAGCCCATGTCCTCTCGTCCTATTGTTGGTTGCCTGGGAGAAGAGCCCAACCCCCACCTGGCTATAACCTCCCTTCAGGTAGTTGAAGAGAGTGATGAGGTCACCTCTAAGCCTTCTCTTCTCCAGACTAAACAACCCCAGCTCCCTCAGCCTCTCCTCATAGGACTTGTGCTCAAGCCCCTTCACCAGCCTCGTTGCTCTTCTCTGGACCCGCTCCAGCCCCTCAATGTCCTTCCTGAACTGAGGGGCCCAGAGCTGAACACAATACTCAAGGTGTGGCCTCACCAACGCAGAGTACAGGGGAAGGATCACTGCCCTGCTCCTGCTGGCCACACTGTTCTTGATGCAGGCCAGGATGCCATTGGCCTTCTTGGCCACCTGGGCACACTGCTGGCTCATGTTCAGCCTCC